GCGATCCATCTCTTGGCCCCATTTGGCAAACGATGCACCATTGTCATTATGGAGGGCCTTAAATTCCCTCCACTGGTCGGAGGAAACTCGGACCAACAGTCGATCGAGCGAGTTTCGTATTTGTGGTGCTTGCACTGAAAAATCCATTGATGCTTTCAGGTAGGCTTTGCGGGCTTCGTGAAGCTGGAAAGCATCTTCTCTCAGGGATGAAGGTTCTTTTGATTTGGACTGTGAAGCATATCTAGATAGAAGGTAATCGTGCTGCTTTTGCGCTTGTTCGAGGGTGCGACGAGTCTCCTGTAGCGGGGTAAGATGACGCTCCTCTCATGCTTTCGAAAGGGGCCGGGGACACTCGGTTTACCTTAAAACTCCGTAAATCATCGTGGATGAAGACTCTTATAGGCTCTGATATAAGCGATTCCATTTTCTTCGCAGTGGCCATTAACCCATTCCACAGATCTTTCGAGCTCTCACCACACGTGCTCATTGCCTGTAAGGTATAATCATGGTCGAGGACAGCTTCGGAGACGATGGGAGGGTTCGAAGAATACGCCAGAAAGGTGTTCATCACATTTTCCATGGTCGCAAGCTCCGTGACGAGCTTGGAAGCAGCCTTTGCATAGCCATCCAGCCATCTTTCGAGGTATTCGATTTGCTCGGAGAAATGAAGTGTGGTGGCCCGGAAAGTCGGGGAGTCGAGAGCAGCCTCTTTCAATCCAACGGGCCTGTATCGACGCAATCAGGTTAGCATCAGGATGAGGAATCTCTCGTCCGCACTTACACCACACTTATAAGCTTCCCAACTCGGGACAATGCGTTCTGCGGCTGAGTCGACATCTAGCGAATATCCCCGGCCATACATTCGATACAGATAGGGGTAATGGTGTGATAGATCGAAAAGTGCGACCCCAAATAGTGAAAACAACGACTTAGGGGGGCCTTCATACGGGGTAGATATACACGTGAGCAAAAGTAACAGTCATGTCGAGAGGAGAGCTTTTGGAACTCTTCTCTTCAAGCCATCCGGGGTCAACAGCCCCATCCATGATCTAATTGGCTACGTCAGTGCTCCGTTGTTGTGGCCTGCGTTCTGAGGCAGCGCAGGGCGGATCGCAGGCGGTCAGCACCGGATGAATATTTTTTCTTTTTCTGCCACCGACTCCAACTTTTTCCAATTGAATAGCGTTGCACATTTCTGCTTGATCGGCGGCTCTCAGAATATTTGTCTCCTCCTCCCTGCTTTCCTACTCGAATTGGGCGAAAATGGAGCCCCCAGCGAAGAAGCCACGCAAGCTTCTTGACGACGACAGCTCTAGCGATTCGGGAGACGAATCTGGCGGAGTTCCCATCACCGATCAGTCAGAGCCTGCGCTCAAGATCAACGAAGAATATGCCCGTCGTTTTGAACACAACAAGAAACGAGAAGAGTTGCAGAAATGTAAGTCTTCATTGCTTGAAATTAGTGATTCTCCAACAATACAAGTCTGATATTTGTTATAGTGGAATCAAAATTAGGAAAGACTTCAGCGCTCGGGAAACGCCGTGATCGTGACGAAGATGACTCCGGCGATTCGGAAGAGTCATCATCAGATGAAGAAGAAGATGAAGATGGGGAATTGGTAACGCCGGCCGTTGATGCAGAAATCATGGCGACACTGAATGCGATTCGATCAAAAGATCCTCGTGTCTACGACAAGGACGCCAAATTCTACACAGCCCTCGAAGAAGAGGAAAACTCAAACACGGAAAATACAGAGAAAAAGCAAAAGCCCATGACTCTTCGAGACTACCATCGGCAAAATCTCCTTAGCGGTGCCAATCTGGAAGAGGACGATACTTCCGATGCTCCGAAGACCTACGCTCAGGAACAAGAGGAGTTGAAAAATGCTATTGTTAAAGAGATGCACGCCACCGCTGATCAAAATGACTCGGGCGTTGACGAGGATAAGGACGAGGATGGGGGATTTCTGATCCGGAAATCGACTACCAAGTCAGCCTCGGAACCCAAGGAAGAAATCAAGCTGGACGTTGAGAATGCGGACAACGACCCGGAGACCTTCCTTTCGAACTTTTTGTCTTCCAGGGCATGGATTCCAGCTGGTAGATCCGAGCTGCAGCCTTTCGAGTCTGACGATGAGGAGGAGTTGGAGCGGGCAGAAGCCTTTGAGGAGGCATACAACTTCCGCTTTGAAGACCCTAGCAAGCTGAACGCAACCCTGTTGACCCACGCTCGTGATAAGACCAACCAACAGTCTGTTCGGAGAGAGGAAAAGAGCGCCAGAAAGAAGCAGCGTGAGGCTGAGCGCATGCGAAAGGAGGAAGAGAAGAAGCAGCGGGAATCTGAGAAGAACCGTCTTCGCAAATTGAAGATGGAAGAACTTCAGGAGAAGGTCAATAAGATCAAGGAAGTCGCTGGCTTCCGCGCATCTAAATTCACCGATGAGGACTGGGCACACTTTCTGGACGACGCCTGGGACGATGACAAGTGGGAAAAGGAAATGCAGAGACGGTTCGGCGAGGACTACTATGCCGAGGAAGACGCCGCTGGTAGTGATGGCGAGGGCAAGGGCAAGAAAAAGCGTCCAGAGAAGCCTGCATGGGATGATGATATTGATATCAAAGATCTGGTCCCTGATTTTGATGAGGAGGAACCCAAGCCGGCATTGGAGGATTCTGATATCGAGATGGAGGATGATGCTGAAGACAAGAACAAGAAGAGTAAAGCTCAAGAGAGGCGGGATCAGAAGCGGGAAGCCCGCAAGGAGCGGCTCCGCATCGAGGAAGCAGTCGATCGCAACCTGGACCTCGACGTTGCTCTTCTACCTGGCGCCACCAAGAAAAACACGACTCGCTTCCGCTACCGCGAAACCTCGCCTCAAAGCTTCGGATTGACTGCGCGGGACATTCTTATGGCCGATGATGCACAGCTGAATCAGTTTGCGGGTCTGAAGAAGCTCGCCTCCTTCCGTGATCCCGAGAAGAAACGCAAGGACCAGAAGAAACTCGGCAAGAAGGCTCGTCTGAGGCAATGGCGCAAGGAGACCTTTGGCAATGAGGAGGGTCCACTCTTCAGCTTCGGCGGTGAAAAGCCTGCGGGTAATGCGGAGCAAGCAGACGATGGAGACAAAGTCGATATTCGGGAAGGGGAGCCTGGGAGGAAGAAGAGAAAGAGGTCCAAGAAGCATTGATGTCTGGCTTTTGTTAGGGCTGATGTTTGTTTTATAAATACCACTTGCAGTTGCCCGAAATGGCTTGTTTATAATGGAAACATATCATGTATCGATCTTTCAACCGATCTCAATGGACGTTTCACAACGGCGGCATGTACAACTACCTAGTCTGAATGATGTGAACCTTGCTACATAGCGATGCTGTTACCGGCTTTCGAGTATTGGGGCAAGCTGAGGTAAACTCGATACTGCACTTGAGTTCTAGATATTGTAGCCCTTCATACAATCTGGTTTGACTGGCACAGTACGAGGAAAATTCAGGGAGATATCATTACATATCAGAGGACTTGCCACAGGAGTAAATTGAAGTCACATATGGAGTACAGTTAAACATCGATCATAGTAGAATGTTCTCAGCCCGATAATAGATATATGGTAAAAGATTGCCCCCATGTTGTGTGGGTCTTTCCACTCTCTTCAAATGCGACTAGAAAACAGCCTAAGGTAGCTGGAAAGAAGTGATGGGGCGAATGACATTAGGAACCTGAACTTACCTTACTGAGAAGGTGTTTCACAAAGTGACATTAATATTTTCAAAAAGGAGCTTCCGCTCGATACTATCTATCTTCCCTATATCAATCTTCGTCGGGAAATGATAGACTAGTCAAGCAGCTTTGACCTCCCGAAACAGAGTGGATGCTACCGAACCGGTCATATACGGTCATATAGACTAGATACGCCGACTGTCCTGTCGAAAGTCCAGGTATGCCAGAAACGGAGCAGTTTCTTCAGACGAATCGAATCGATCTCATTGATAAGAATTGTATTTACGGAGGGCATTCTGACAATGCTTCAACAGAATCCGCCAAGCTCAATCGCAGGGTGCGCAATTGACATTGCTTGAAGATAACTATCCACTGTAGGAAAGATGTCGTAGATAGATTGTATCTACACCGTATATCCTCGAACATCCGCGGCACTGAAGATTATGGAGTGTCTACCATCCAAAAAAATTTACTGGGGTATCCGGACTTTGAAGTCGACCATACCTTCTATCCGCATTCACAGAATCAACAAAGACTACTCCTACTGACGGGTGGCTAACGAGGAAAATTTTGCCATCGGAGACTCGGGACAAGGCCAAGAATAGAAATCCTTGAGCCTAGGAGATAGATACGTTCCCCGTCCGTGAAGATGCTGGGTGCGGGCGACTGGGCGGAGGCTCTCCGGGTTACGGGTTGGCTTAGTGACGGGGAAACAGTGAAGAATAACGTACAAGGAAGATACCTATCGATCAACCAAACGCATTAGTCGTCCTATTAGTTATAGATTATTAGTCAAGCCTGCCCCAAGAAGAGTATTGTTATAAGAATCTGTGCAGAATAATCGTCAAGAACAAGTGACAGTGTGTTATGCATTCTGTGTTATTATTGCAATAATTGCTCTGGTTGATCGGGAATTATCGGCTCTCGTTGCCTGGGCCATTGTTAGCGCCGGTTCCGAATTTTCTTTTTTGCCATTTTCCCCCTACTTTTTCCCTTTCGCTGGCCGTTTGTCCGCTGGCAAAAGGAAAAAAATTGCTGCGAAATTTTTTTTACGCTTGAGGCCAGCAAACCAGAATTTTCCCAGAGCGTCCTAGCGGCTCCACTTGCTTCCTCCCGCTTACAAGAGCCCTTCGCTCGCTATTTTTCTTTCCTCCCTTCCCCTTCCCGTTCCCCTTCCTCTTTTTTCTCCTTCCATCCTCTTTGAAGTGTCCTCTTCTTTCTTGACACTCAACCCCATCTCCTCTCTTCATTTCTTTCTTAGTTTTCGTCCTTTACAGCCGTCAACATGGCCAAGGGTGACGTTAACCAGGCCGAGAAGTCCGTCTTCGGCATGCCCGTAAGTTGTTATTGCAGTCCTGTTTTGGGCAACAGCCGGTCGGCATCGGATCGAGGTCTTGAAATGACGGCAATGATGGGGAATTGAGCTCGCTGAGGTGGAGGATCATTGCAATCATCTTTAGGAACTCGATTTGATGTTTTCGACGCGGTTTTGCCCTGGAATCCCGGGGAAACGACTCGCTGACAGAATTTTCACCGCAGGGATTCGTCGTCGACTTCCTGAGTATGTGCCATCTAAATCATTCCCGATGATTGTTCAATCTTCGGCACTCATCAAATTGCGACAACGGGATCATTCTATCGAGCTTTTACTGACCATTTCGCAGTGGGCGGTGTTTCCGCTGCCGTCTCCAAGACTGCTGCCGCCCCCATCGAGCGTATCAAGCTCCTTGTCCAGAACCAGGTTGGTTAACCATCTTCGCTCCCGAACCAGCAATTAGAATGGCCGTCACTCTGTGAGAAATCAATTCGAACAGGGCGAAGTTTTGCGATTACTTCGGATGTTTCTGTCGCCATGATTGGGACAATCGGATGGTCGCAAAACTTGTCACTCTACGAATCTGGCCAGCGATCTGCTCAACTGGAACGCGACTAATGCCATTCACTACAGGATGAGATGATCCGTGCTGGCCGTCTCGACCGCAAGTACAACGGTATCGTCGACTGCTTCCGTCGTACCGCCCAGGCTGAGGGTGTCATGTCCCTGTGGCGTGGTAACACTGCCAACGTCATCCGTTACTTCCCTACCCAGGCTCTGAACTTCGCTTTCCGTGACACCTACAAGTCGATGTTCGCCTACAAGAAGGAGCGTGATGGATACGCCAAGTGGATGATGGGTAACCTTGCCTCCGGTGGTGTACGTATATCCTCAACATGTCTTCTGCAGAGACGACCTTGGGAGCTAACAAGCTATTCAGGCTGCTGGTGCCACTTCCCTCCTCTTCGTCTACTCTCTCGACTACGCTCGTACCCGTCTTGCCAACGACGCCAAGTCCGCCAAGGGTGGTGGTGACCGTCAGTTCAACGGTCTCGTTGATGTCTACCGTAAGACCCTCGCCTCCGACGGTATTGCCGGTCTCTACCGTGGTTTCGGTCCCTCCGTTCTTGGTATTGTTGTCTACCGTGGTCTGTACTTCGGCATGTACGACTCCATCAAGCCTGTTGTCCTGGTTGGTTCTCTTGAGGGTAGCTTCCTTGCTTCCTTCCTGCTCGGCTGGACTGTCACCACTGGTGCTGGTATTGCTTCTTACCCTCTTGACACCATCCGTCGTCGTATGATGATGACCTCCGGTGAGGCCGTCAAGTACAAGTCCTCCATGGATGCTGCTCGCCAGATCGTCGCCAAGGAGGGTGTCAAGTCTCTCTTCAAGGGTGCTGGTGCTAACATCCTCCGTGGTGTTGCTGGTGCTGGTGTCCTGTCCATCTACGACCAGGTTCAGCTCATCCTCTTCGGCAAGAAGTTCAAGGGTGGCTCTGGCTAAACGATTGATTAACTTCGAATCGTTTCCTTGAGTGCGCCTTGATAGGGGAAGGGGTTGGCCAGTGTCGGGCGTAACTGCCTGAAACTGGACGCTACTGTGGATGGTTATAGAAAATATGCTCCAAGAAGGGTATCGGGAGTCTTGAGCATAAAGCAGTGTGATATTTCCTCATGTACCCGTTGTACTTTACTGCCTGCAAGCTTTTTCTTTTTCTCAATGTGTACTTCTTTCCGGTACGAAAACTGGCTTTTGTTTGTTTGGGGTTGCCTCCTTGACGTTGCCTCTGTAGGTGAAAATTTTCCTCTTCGTAAACACCACGTGTAATAAATCACGTGATGTGATTGGATCCCATGACGTCGGTCGGTGTTGCTATCCCTTGAGACAGGGGAACTTGTCTACCGTTGAGGTTGGTGGGCTTTATGATTAAAATTACCGTCTCAACATGACTACAACCGCGCTTCCTGACGCGACGGCCCCGTCCACCTCATCAGCGAAGCAGGACGAACCTGCTGCATCGGAACCTGCATCTGCGTCAGCTACCGCAACAGCACCTCCATACTCTCCGATCTACGCCACTGCCCAGGCTCAACCAGCAAGCATCACAACCATGCCTGCGCCGACTGCACCAGCGACATCTGGCAGTGACGGATTTTCTCTACCCACAGTGACCGAGACGATAGCCACCCCTGCCACGAGAACGAGCACCTCGCCTCCTCCCCCTCAGCCTGGAGCTCGTCCTGACCCAGGAATTCCAGCGCCGACGGCACCTCCAGCTCCTGCTCCTGCTCCCCAGGCTCAAGCTCAACCTCAGCCAACATCTGCTACTACAGCCACAGGTGCAACTACAACTGGAGCTCCTGCGAACCCCATCCCTAGCTACGGCTACAGCCCCACTGCCGGCGGGTACACCTCCGGATTCACTTACCCATCCCAGGACCAACAATTCCATCCACGACAACACCCACACACACAGCCACAGCCACAGCCAAACTCAACGTCCACACCCTACGCCTCGCTCTACCACCCTCCCACCTCATCCTCACAGCTACCCCTCTACCAGAACCAGGGCCATGGCACCGACGCGTTCGACTCCGGCCACGAAGGCGGGTCCGAGTCCGGGTTCCTGGCGAGCGCCAAGTCGTGGATAGCGAGTGCGGGGACGAAGCTTGCGGAGGCGGAGGCTGAGGTGTGGAGGAGGATTAACGAGGCTCATGATCGGTAGATTGTGCTGCTGCTAGTATCTCCTCCGTATTTATCTTTATCTATTGATTTGTGTTGGTTGGTTGGTTGTCCCTGTTTCTGTCTCGTGTTTAGGGCAAATATTGTGGATTTGGATGGTATAAGGGGATGAGCTGGCTTCGTTAAGTAGATCGGTCTAGGGCTGGGTGGCGTTTATTCGTTATGCCTTGATATGTACTAGGATCTTATGGTTGGAATGGTATGGGATGCTAGGCGGTCCTTCAGGGTCGTATATGCGGACTGTATCTCTTGGCTGAGGACGTGGGTTTACATCAGTTTAGGCTATGCATCAAGACAGTCTTGAGTTATTTCCGGTTACATTGACCAGTTAAGTGGACAAGCAAAGCAGGATATATTTTCGACGGAAGGGTACGGTGGACTACAGATAAACTATGGTCACATAATTCGGATATATCATGCCAAAGTCAATGCTTTGTTATTTCTGTTTCTTGTATGGTATATATAGTGTTATATACTGCTGAAACCTGCCTGAGAGTAGTTCACCAGGAACATGCAGACATGCAAAGTCATCAAACTGAATGTACAGCTGACCAAAGAGATTAAGTGGAGAACGGAGGATCCGTCTTGCGCCAGGCACATGCACAAATAAATGAAATGGGAGCAGTATGGGATAAATAGACTGCAAACCCAAGATGTATCAAAATGCAAAGATGAAAGCCCCGAGTATATGTTCACTCAAGCTTGGTATTAGAAGGGAGTAACAACCATAAAACCCCAGACCCAGAAACTCCATGAACCCGATCCCTGTGAATTCCAGATCCCAATGCAATTAAAAGACCATTAGATCGGGCCAGCCAGACCGCGAGTGCCGTGTTGAATATCTGGCAACCTGAATTTTCCGAGAGCATGTCATGATAAATCGTAAAAAGTCAAGAGGTTCATATCGGGAATGATCGTCCCACCTCTGAAAATGATAGAAAGTAAAAATCAAGTCGTCAAAGATGTGCCCGAGTATAAACCAGTCGCACCAACGCCGAGTCCTGTTGCTGAAGTTCACATAGATCCAAGTCTTAACAATGCTTCCACCGCGGCCCGTTCTTCCTTGTTGCCAACCATGCCGTCAGACACGGAAAAGCCGAGCTGTTGGATGGGAATATGCCGCGGTGCGGATTTTGCCAACGAGGACGGAGCAGGTCCGCCACCTCGTAATAGAGGTGATGGTCCGTTGCCATTTATGAACCCTCCTCCTCCGTTCAATGAACGTGCGCGGAGTGCTGCGGCTCCTATCTGCGCCCAGTCCTCCTCGTCGGTGACGTCCTCCTCACCCCAGTCTTCATCTGGAATCTCTTCATCAGGAGCCTCCGAAGACGAGCAATACTCGCGGTCGTCTCCGTCGAGAGACATCTTGTCTGCTTCGTGTTCCAGCATGCTGAGATCCCCATGACCATGTTCTCTTTCTGTGTAAGAGAACACGGCTGAATCACCAGTCATGCTGCTTCCATAGGTATATGAGGATTCTCGCCTGCTCGGAATGGCCATACCTCGCTGAGCGAAAGAGTTCGAGAAACTGGCGGGTGGCGACGCGGTTGGATGCGAGGGGTTGCGCAAGGGTTCGCCACGGCGTCGCGCATCCCAGCGGCCCCAACCCACTTTCTCGAAAACGACATCGCCGTTTAGGCCTCCTCCCTCATTTCCCCGGCCCTCCAAGGCTGCCACGACGAGTCTGCGCGCCTTGGCAGGGGGGATTCTGGAGAACCCGGGCACCGAAGTGGTCAGGTATGCCATGACATGACGGATAGCTAGAGGACCTTGGTTGAGCATGACCTCGGGCAAGTGATACCTGGCCAGCATGCTCGGGGTGATTTCTCCCACGTTATCCAGGCCATGCGCGGGCTGACGCTGGTCATTTGCAGCGTCGCCCAGGTCGATATCCGAATCCACATGCGGCGAAGTGGCAAGCGGAGGAGACCCGGGACGGCGAAGATCCTGTTTTTTGAAGGCCTGCGGAGGGAGAGTCGGGGAGATGGAGTTGGGAGGCGTGGGCAACATCGCGGGATGTCCTGGACGGACAGAGTCACGTCTGCCAGAAGAAAAGCCGGAACGGGGCTTGGGGATATCAACAGAGGCCGTCTTGCCAGCAAGGGCCATGGCGATGCTGGATGTAGCTGTTTGAGGAGCCATGATGGTCGAGAGAAGTAATGGACTGAAGAGAAAATGATATGGTACTTCTGTGGTGGCTAAACCTGTCATCACATGAGTCAGTAGGCTGTCCACCAACCATAAGACGCCGCAAGGGGGAACAGAACAATGGGACGGGGATGACTAAACTGGTGACTCGCAAATAGATGAACAAAGAAACCAGGTACGAAAGAAGAGGCCAAGAATCGAAAAAAAGAGACTGATATGGGTATGATCACTCACGTAATACTTTGGGGGAACAGATGACAGTTCAAGCAGCAGACGCAGGCACAGTGTGTGAGCTGAGTGAGGTGCGAATAAGACGCGCGGATATTGAATAGATCAAAGCACGCGACTGTTCAGACAAAGAAGACTCAACAAGCGCGATGCTAGCAGTATGATGATTTCCTGGACGACTTGCTTTTGGATGGTAGAAGGAACAGAGATATGATGAGGAGGAGGGGAGGAAGGAGGGGGGAAAAAGTAAGTATGAGGATAGGATAGGATATAATAATAGTTGCGATAATAATAATATCAGCAGGTGCAGTGAAGCGTGCCCTCAGCCAGCGTAGAATATTCGCGTATTTGCTGTATTAGGATTACGGCAAGTCAATAATCATGAGAAATGACGATCGCAGTCCAGGCTGGAATGTAGATGGACCTGAATACTGAGGACTTGAGGTGAGGGATTATTACTGTTGTTAAATCCTGCGAAGTACTTGGACTTAGTCTACATACTTCGGAGGTCCCATCAGGGTACCATAGTTACTGCCCCATACAGGCTCCATAATAGACAGTCCAGACGGGGGTACTGATCCATACAGATCCATACGGACGATAACAGGTCCAATGCCAACGAGACAGGCGCGTGGCCCCGGTCATTGGCCAGCAGCCTAGAGCTTCCCGGAGTAAGGTGTCGTCAGAACAGCGCCGGGAGGATCCGGAGCCACTGTGGACACTGTATTACTTACGGAGTACATCTATCTACCTCTCTGACTGTACCTACAGTGTGGCTTATCCTGACAGATCTAAAGAAACTGGCGTCATAGCACTACAGAGTAGAGATCAATTAAGATAATGAGATCTGATCAGTTTTCCCACATTTCACCCACTTGAACAATGATCAGATCATACAACTGCACTGGAGTACCATACCCTGTACTTCTCTAGATGTAGCTAGATGTACTCCTTATCCGACTGAAAACACACCGGTAAAGACCTCGCCCAGGTCTCAAGAATTCAAGAGATAGGCACCCCTCAATGATCGACATCTATGGATTTCCAACCGGTTGCAGCGTTATCGGCGTGTGGTCTTCTTCTCAGGCTGGGAGGTCAAGGCAACAGGGTGCAACCCTATCACAACATTGGTACATAGCAAGACGGGGCGGGCGATAAGCGTCCATGATTAGGGCACGTGGGATCTTCACCACAGCACATGCATGTCTATTATTCCCATGACTGGCTGCGCTTATCGCCCCCCCTCTTGATCAATTCAGAATGAATGTCTTGATCATTGGTGGTCAATCATTCACGCGCCAAGGTCAAGAGTTTGATTCTTCAGTATCTGGGGGGTACAGTTACAACCTCAGTAGATCTATGAAACCACCACATCACCAGTACGCCCCGCAAACAGGCGATACTTGAGCTGTAGGTACTCGCCAAGTACGGAGTACCTGACTCCATATGTATTAGACCTAGTCTAGGTAGTCTCTGTCGCTACGTCACACTTGCTCTATGAAAAGGCCGGTAATACTGGGTTTTGGACAGGCAAGCATTGACCTTTTGCATCTCATATGTAATTCAATAATGTTTGTGAGAGAATTGTCTATCTATTTGATTCTGATGCCTTCTATCAATGGTTTCACTCAATTGCATCCTCAGTAATATAGACTAATATAGAGAGGTACCAGTTGCCGATAATCCGGAGCCCAGCCCAAACAGTGGGGGTTTACCTCTCTACAGTCAACGCACTGTCCTGTTCAAACCCTTATTTACTCGGCTAATAAATCCCTCGACATGCTATTCTAGTGGAGAGTCTGTGCCCTTCAGCTTCTCCTGCGGATTGCCAGGTGAAACTGGCCCTATTATTTACTAAGCATAGCTGCATGAAATCCTGGTAAAGCTGCCATTAACTTACGGAAGCGTCGAGAACTCGAGATACGTGGTGCGCGTGGGGGTCCCCTTTACAATGGTCAATCCAAATGCCAATTGGTTCTCTGTACAGCAATACCGATTACTTTGGTCTGCCTATATATGCACATCTTTCACTGTGCCTTGTTTGATTTTATCTCGAAACAGACTGAGAGTACCTCGGCTCGCTTGCTTGAAAATCCCATAGATATACCCTCTATACTTGGCAGATCATCTACGGAATGATATGCTCTCTTGGTGGGGACCGCGGAAGAAGCTTCCCCTGCGATATTATTGACAATAATATTTGTGAACCCCAGGACCAATTGACTAATGTGTCTGATATGACGCTGCCACCTGCGATCCGCGGTGAACCTTCTAAGCTATCTCTGTTCCCCCCAGGAAAGACGGAGCAAGAGACCAAAGTGTCTCGATCGCATCTTGCTCGATAACATCACGTGATGAGAGGCACATGACTGTAGATAAGCACTATCCACCCCGTTCTTCCGATCTTATCGGCCTCAACTGACATCCGATCGAAATATTCCCAACCCGCAATGCCTTCGGATCTCGACCTCCCTGTGCGGGGTTGACATTTCACAAGAGAATGCTCAATGTTCATTCGCCGTTTCCTTGAAATCTTCCTAATTATGATCATACAGCACTCGCTTGCGGTGCCAAATGATTCTTTGCATGCATCCGCCCGACGGGCGATAGCTCGGAATCGAATCGGACATGGCGATGTGCTTTCCCGCATCATCTCTATTCAATGATCTGCTTAAATAAATTCTCTGGAAATCCACCTTTGAGTCATTATCGTCGTCCAAACGTACTTTGAATTGTAAAGCATCAACTCCTTGGATGAGCATAAACCCATATCCGACAACCAGAGTCCACATTCAAACCGCAGGATTGCTGTCTAAACAGAGAAACCGTGAGTCAACATGACGGACACAGAAAAAGACAACTCGTATTCGCCTGTTCAGGAAGCACGCCGAATCTTCTCATATCTCTGCGATCAAGCCGAACGACTCAGTTTGCCGCCGCAGATCGTGGAAAAGAAGGATGCCGTGTCATTCTCATCTTCCCATAACGAGATCTACTACCCGATCCCATTCAAAGAAACGGAGACATTGGCCGCATTGAAGGGAGTCGAAGGTGCTGTCGCTAGCGCAATTGCCGACTTGCGGTTTGGTGAACAGAAGCGCAATGTGAAGATCAACCTGGAGAAGGCGACAGCTTTCGGATGCCAGGCATACATGGCCAAACTTGACGGACTTTCTAAACTTGATCCAGCTGTCAAGTCAAAATTGAAAGGTATGTTGGGTTGAGCTTGAAGATATCCTTCCTCTGGAAACTGATCTGTTAGACACCGACCTGCTTGCGGCCCAGTCGAATGGATACCGTCGGATGTCCGCCAACCTTTACAGAACCAAGAACAAGGGCGAATTCTTTCATATCCATGGCTCCCTTGAGGCTACGACGACGCTCAACATGATTGGATTGGAGGGTCACCGTCCGGATCTCACAGACTACGAAGAGATCATCAGGGTCATTGAGAGCCACGTGCAGAAATACAGCGCTGCCGAGCTAGAAGAGATGAACAAGGAGAGGAGACAAGCTGGGGTCACGGCATTCAAATACGAGGATTTCATCAATACTTCCCATGTTCGTTCATTCAATCTTTGCGTCGCGGCTGGACGATAAGCTGACTATATCATAGGGACGGCTTAATGTGCAGGAACCTCCGTGGAAGGTAAAGCATCTCAGCGGGGACTTGCCTCCGACACCCTTCCCCGCCAGTCGCAGTGGAAGCAAGAAGATCCTAGAGGGCGTCAAGGTGCTGGAACTCTGCCGTATTATTGCGGGACCAACAGTTACACGAATTTTGACCGAGTACGGCGCAGATGTCTTGAAGATTACTAGCCCTAATCTTTCTGATGTCCCTTTTTTCCAGGTTGATGGTAACATGGGCAAGCATGCCGCGGATCTGGATCTGAAGACTACGGAAGGACGTCGTCAGTTCGAGGAACTTTTGGCTGATGTGGATGTGCTTGTCGATGGCTACCGCCCAGGCGCGCTCGAGAAATTGGGATACGGTCCAAACGCTCTCGCCTCGCTGGCGGAGAAGCGTGGAAAGGGCATTGTATACGTCAATGAAAACTGCTTTGGCTACGAGGGAGAATGGGCCAGCCGTCCTGGCTGGCAGCAAATTGCTGATTGCGTGAGTTCTCGCTCTAAACACGGCAACATGGGCAAAACTGACACTTGTCAGGTAACTGGTATCGCATGGGCTCAGGGGCAATTCATGGGCCTATCCACTCCGGTGGTACCTCCGTTTCCCATCTCTGATTACGGCACAGGCTGCATGGGCGCCATTGCCGCCCTCACAGGACTCTACCACCGTGCAAAGACCGGCGGATCCTACCACGGCATGGCCTCTCTGATGCATTATGACCTCTTGCTCTTTGCCGTGGGCAAGTATTCGGACGCAGTGCAGGAGAAGATGCGGGCTGCTCAGCCGCCGGATTTCTTCAAGCTTCGGCACTGCGAAAGCGTGGATCGCATCTCCTCGACCGTCCTAAAGATCATGCATGCGCGGTTTCCGCATCTCTATGTAGCCCCCGACGACGCGGCCGGACAGGAGGCGCTCACGGAGAAATGGTTCTCCAAGGCGTACAATGCCGACATTGAGGTTGTCAAACCTATTGCGGAAATTGACGGGGTGGACAACAGCTTCTCGCGCGCCAGTCGACCAAACGGCTCCGATCGACCTAGCTGGGAGGACTTCCAGCTGCCCGAGGAGGACTACAAGAAGGCTTAACGGAAGCAATTGTACATACTGTATCAACCAGATCATACTCTAGATTAGGTCTTACTGCAAGACAGCTACCTTCATATCACTCTAGTCCGACAGATCGGCCATGTCCTTGAGCCCGCAACCCAACCCGCATCCTCCGATACAACCATATCGGAACGTCGGATACGGACAGTGAGCATCGGCCCGAAACCTGCCAGAGGTATACCGCGGCATTGACATCACAACATAGACTAGAATCAAACACTGTAGATAAACCATTCAGACAATCACTCTCCAGACCAAGAGCACAAACCCAGTCCAAATCCCTATCCCCATACAGTCAAAATGTCCTACAAAATCACCACCGACTCCACCCTCTCCCCACCCTCCGCAAACACCATGATCTCCTTCATGGAATCCTTCTACCAAATCAGCGACAATGAATCCCTGCACGCGCAATACGTCGCCAGCTTCACACCCGACGCAACCCTAATCATGGGGCCCAAGGTCGCAAACGGAGCGGACGGTAGGCCCTGCCCCTGCCCCTGCCTCCTTCCAACAACTTAAAAGTCCATGCTAATGCGGCCTGTCCTAGAAATCCTAAACCTGCGCCACGGTCTCTGGACGCATGTAGCGTCGAGGAAACACTCCCCGCAGAAGATCTATTTCGGGGGCAAGAGGGAGCTCATGCTGTATGGGACGGTGAGGTATGTGCTTAAGGCGGAGCCGGGGAGGGAGGTGGAGGTTCCGTGGGCGGGGAGGGTGGTTTTTGATGATGATGAAGGGGAGGGGCTGAGGATGAAGTTTTATCAGGTTTATTTGGTAGGTCTCTTTTGCGTTGCGGGATGGGATTGAGGGTGATGCTGATATGCTGTTTTACTCTAGGATACGGCTGCGCAGTCGGGGAAGAAGTGATTCTAGGTGTAGACTGTATAGTAGAGGGGATTCGTGTGCTACGTAATGGCAGAAAGATGGACGTGAGAGATGGCTCCCTCTGTCTGGCTATTTACAGAGGAGACGTGCTTTTCGTCTCTCCGCTGGCCCATGCCCATCTGGGTCATCATCGACAACTGTCGGAATGGAATAGGGTGAAAAAAAAAGGGTAAAAAAAAGTTTCATTCCTCTCCCGCTGAATCCATAGTGTATCAATCCAACTCATCCATGTTGCCGACTTGTATGTAACTTGACCGGTTCAACTCAAAGCCACCCAGCTTTTTCCCTTCGAAATCTGAAGACAATTTCTTAGACAAGGAAAAGACACCAGAGGTTCAAGATGAAGACATCAGGGACTTTTTATTGTTTTAGTACGAGACTAATTTACTCGTCGTCCTCCTCCTCCTCGTCAACGGTGGTCTTGGCAATCCGGTCAAGATCCCGCTGGCCGGCCTGGGTAATGCGGCGACCGCCCTTCTCCTCATCGTACTCAAGGACACCGATCTTCTCGAGAGACTGCATGACCTTGCGGTCGACGGAGCCGGAGGCATCGACGTGGTGGTTGGGGCGGGAGCCACGGTTCTTGGTCGAGCCGTGGACCTTGCGCAGGCGGCCGACACCGACGGTCTTGCGCATGTAGATGTGACGGGCAACGGCAGCGGCGCGGACGTAGTACCTGCAATCATTAGCTGTCAGGGGAGGTCGACTCAATTGAGATCAATCGGGATCAATCGTACCAGTCGGCGTCTTGGGGAGGGAGCTCGTTGGAGCAAGAAGTCTTGACAGTGTCAACCCATCCTAATAACCATCAGTTTCAAATGCTGTGTGAGATCCTTGCTGCGGAGGCCGAACGAACCAGGGATGGGGAGCTTGCCCTGACGCTTCAGGAAAGCAGAGTAGGCAGCGATGAACTTCTGCGCCTGTAGGTAGAAAACAATCATTCGTTAGCACAGATCTCGCCCTTCACATGTTTCTTCGTCTTCGTTTCCTGTCTCTCTCCTGGATTTATTGGCAACGGTGGACCTGGCCTCAGCAAAATTTTCGTCCATAATCTCGGTTCCCATGCAGTCGATGTGCGCTGTGTTGTGATCGATTCTTCCGACCGTATCTCAGTCCCATCATCAAAGTTTCGACATCCTCAGGTTGCAGATTTTGTCGTGAATTTCCATATGCGCGAACAAGCTGAATATCAATGTCCCTCCCGTAGCATCCATACCCGATTTACCAAATTCCTCCTCTTCCCATTGCCAATAATCCATTGCGGCCTCTCCGCAAAGAGAGAAACAGGACTGCAGGATACTGAATGGAGCAAACTTACGTCCACATCGCGAACGGTGACACCACCCATTTTGACGACTTGTGACCTCGAAGGTGAACGGTGGGAGTTGAAGAGGAAGCCGGGGGGGTGAGAGGGATGGGCGTCGTTGTCGTCGTTGGAGGGAGTCGGATCAGGTCAAACCTCGAAATTCGCACACACACACAGAGACAGCCTTTCGCTGGGCCCGTTCTGTGTGTGGCGCTTTCGCTTAGCCTGTTCGGGACTAGCCGTACCCTAACCGTCTACAGGCTGCGGCTGCCTTAGGCTATCAGGCAGCACCTGCGGCCAATTAGCGATCGGACTTGGCACTACTGCTACAACAAGTCTACAACAAGATCTTGAATCGATCTAGCCATGAACTTGCTTCAAGGCTAGCTATCTGAATTCTGCTGCAATTATCGCCGGTTATTCCCCGTCCATTCACAAAGGAATCTCAAGCTACATCTCTGCCAGGGAATGGGCCAGTCAATGCGAGTATCTCAGCTACTATTAGACCTTTTCCCCGTAGCGCGGTTTCTGTAGTGTAAGTGCCGCCTTGAATCCCAGTGACTTACTTTCGTTATAGAGGAGTGGGAAAGCTCGCACCGATCATACTTGTCTTTCCTTTGATCGGACTTGCCAGTCCAGCTGGCACAGGTGTTACCGTTGAATTGGTTCATGAGGGTCGGCACCTCAATAGTCACCCAACGAGTAATCGTCTGTCTTCATGACTTTCATAGACCATTTCCCCTCGGTTCACCTGAGAAGAGCGGGTTTAAACGCTAGATGGGTATTGACAGATTGCCCGCTTCAGTAGACGTAGAAAGGGCAGTGCGCAGATCGCGAGACGATGAGAACTTTGTGTTTGATCCAAGAAACCAATCATGTCTAGCGATCGAATCTCCAGATGACAAGCTCGCGGTTTGCATTTTCACCTATCACGAATTTCTCGTTTCCGCAAATCTTTCCCTTACCCGCGAGTTCACAAGCATCGTCGGGTTTCAAGACAATCCGAGAGTATGGCGTCTGTATGCTCAAATAAATCTTCGAATCAAAAGGCCAACCCAGCGGAGACAGATGCAAGGCAAATCCTGCCTTTGATCTTTTATCATAAACCTCGGAGATGACAGTGTACCAGAACTGCTTGCAGAGCAGACCGAGCGGCTTTGTCTGTAACCCATTGCTCCCGCGGTAAGGAGATAAGATGTAGTCAACGTCTCGCCTCCAGACCGGTCCATCGCCAAGCAAGGGAATGCTCGTGATCTGCACCTGAGATGTCCACTCCGTCGGTCCGACGAGTCGGTCAAGCGGTCCTGTGCACAAGTTCTCAATGATTTCTATGGCTTGGTCATCATCGGTTATTTCTAAACCTTGCATGCCTGGTACTCCTCGTTGTCTGACGGAAAAGAACCCCAACTCTCTAAAGCCGAAACGTGAGACAATGGAGGGTACTTGATCCTGCTCTTCGCTCCGTTGACGCCCTGTAGGATCCAGAGAGGGCCTGTATGGAGATGGTTTTGAAATGTCCCAGACGAACAGGGACTCGATTGGAGCATCCTCGTCGGCAGTGTACAAGCTGCGATTGGGTTGCCATATGTAGATCACATAATGCGTCTTGTTATGAGTGGAGTAGAACCGATCTCTTTCACTCAGAGGATGGCCGAGGAACATGATCTTCCACTCATTGCGAAACGCGACGTTCCAGCAGCCATTGGCTTCTTGAGTCACGTCAAATGAAGATGCAAAATGACGATGGACCCCGTCGCTGTCATTCAGCCAGTGAAAGGCCTTTGGCTCAGCCCATTCCACTACAAGGACTCGTCTCTGCAAGCGAATTCTCCTAATCACCTTGCCGATAATCAAGAACGGTACCATAACCTGTTTCCCGGTCTCCACATCCATGAGGACCAAAGAGGAGTAACCTGCACTGGGGTACACAAGCAGACCATCCTCGTAGGTCCAGAATGTTTCGGCGTAGAGGTAATCAACCCGCTGCATGAGATGACTGGCATGGCTATCCCAAGGCTGTACCTGAAACCACTCTCTTTCTCCTGAGATTCCAAAATCGTCACAGAGCTTGAGCTTTTGGACCGACCTTGGCTTGCCCCGGCTGAGATGATGGTATCTAGAGGCAACCCTGTCGAACATTTCGCGCCAATGTTCACCATTCTGAACCGCTGAGAGTAGCTCGTCCAATGACTGTTTGCTTTTCAGCGCCCGAACCTCTGGGGCTCGGGGAAACAATCGGATCAATAGGCGAACCAGATGTTCTGGGTTGGTAAATGCTTCGTTCCAATACTTTGACACTCGACGACATCGTACAATATCCCTGGCATCAAGATACTGTAAGATCATCCAGAAGACTTCCAGTGGCATGAACAAAAAGTCCACTGTCCCAGATCCCCGTGGAGGCTCCGACGTGACTTTTGTCTCCGCCATTATTTTAAGTGTGGGGAATAGCCGAGTATCGGAAGCAATTAGATGTCATCACCAGAGAAAATCGACGATGCGATATTGTTGGTAGTAGTCTCGACCGAAGTGTCAGCATACTAGTCAATTAAAAGACTAGGTAGACAAGGCTGTAGAGGAATAAGCCATTGGCGTCTGGGGGAAGCTGGAGATGGGTGCATGATTTGTTTGCATCATGGCGGAGTTGTTTTGTTGCTTTCCGCCGTCACATGCCAAGAGCTTCAGGACACCTTGCTTCAACCCCCCAGACAGCCAGCTCTAAATACGCCTGCTGTCCACGTTTGGACAATTATGATACTTGTCTGATGTGCTTTGCTACCATCTACTCACTAGCCACTAATCACTCGAGTTACAGGCACTGAATCTCCTTCATTATGATGCAGCCAAGCTCTGCACTTCTGCTCGTCGCATCGCTTTTGGCGGCTTCGTCCGTCAACGCAGATGGACTATACACTAAAAAGTCTCCTGTGCTGCAGGTTACTCAGAAGACCTATGATCAGCTGATTGCTAACTCTAATTACACATCGGTAAGACGGCTCCGAAGTGGATTGTGTCGTAAGGTGCTTGTATAGCTAACGCTTCTCCCAGATCGTAGAGTAAGCTCCCCACCCTCGCGATTAGTCTCATCGACAAGCTCCTAAAACGTATGCGCACTACTCTAGATTCTATGCTCCTTGGTGTGGCCATTGTCAGAACCTCAAGCCTGCATACGAAAAGGCAGCTAAGAACCTGGAGGGGCTGGCCAAGGTAGCGGCTGTGAACTGCGATGACGATGCCAACAAGCCCTTGTGTGGTCGGATGGGCGTACAGGGTTTCCCAACTCTGAAGATTGTTACACCTTCCAAGAAACCCGGCAAGCCAAAAGTGGAGGATTATCAGGGAGCAAGGAGTGCAAAAGCGATCGTCGATGCTGTTGTGGACAGAATCCCCAATCATGTGAAGAAGGTCACGGACAAGGATCTGGATCAGTGGCTCTCCGAGGACAAGGGGGCTCCCAAGGCTATTCTGTTTACTGAGAAAGGTACCACGAGTGCCCTCCTCAAAGCTGTCGCCATTGAGTTCCTCGGTTCCATCAAGGTTGGCCAGATTCGCAACAAGGAATCAAACGCCGTGGAGAAGTTTGGTGTCAAGGAATTCCCTACCCTCGTCCTGGTCCCTGGCGGTGATAAGGAACCCATCGTCTACGATGGCGAACTCAAGAAACAAGCCATCATCGAGTTCCTCAGCCAAGTCGCAGCTCCAAACCCCGACCCGGCCCCCGCCTCAACCAAGGCGAAATCCTCCAAGTCCACCAAGTCGTCTAAACAACCCAAGTCCTCCACTATCCTCAAAGAAGAAGCAGAAAGCTTAAAACCTACCGAATCCCCTGACCCCAAGGTCGTCCCCGACGACGCTACAGAGTCAAAGCCCGCCCAGGTCCCCATCCAGGCACCACCCATTCCCGTACTCCCCACCGCAGAGGCACTCGAGGCCGCCTGCCTAAAGCCTACATCTGGTACCTGCGTCCTAGCGCTCCTCCCAGAACCCCGCGAAGCGGATGCAGAAGTCGCCGGTCCCGCGAAAGAGGCGCTGGCCAGTCTATCGGAGATCGCTCACAAGCACGCCCTGCGCAAGAGCAAGCTTTTCCCGTTCTACAGTGTCCCCGCTATCAACAGCGGGGGCAAGACTCTGCGGGCTGGGCTGGGATTGTCCGAAGATCAGAGCTCGGTCGAGATCATTGCTTTGAATGGCCGCAGGGGTTGGTGGAGGCGCTACGACGCGTCAGAGAGTCGGGATTATGGTGCCGTGTCTGTGGAGGCGTGGATTGATGCCATAAGACTGGGCGAGGGGTCGAAGAGCAAGTTGCCCGAGGGTGTTATTGTCGAGCACAAGGAGGAGGCTGATAAAGAGACGGGTGACCATGACGAGTTGTAAAATTTCGAGATAGTTTCTATGTTATGTATCCTCAAGCAAAAGGCGTTTTTGACAAGGATGAGAGTATGCGATATGCGAACCTCTATTCAAACTTTTTGGATATACAAGGGCATATATACAGAAACGTAAAACCTCTTCACAAGAGAATACCATAACACCGTTCTTTCATGCAAGACTGGAATGATTCAGGTAAATACTTCATGCCTTCTTTCGCCCTTCGGTTCCCTTCTTGATGATCTTCTGTCTTTTCGATTCGATTTCCTGGTCATAGATCTCTCGCGCGGTCTCGCCCTTCTTCCGCTTGCTTGCTTTCGCGGACTTGATGCTGACGGTTGGGGCGCCTCCGCTGCGGATCTGCTTCTCGGCTTCCTCCCACGCGGCGCTGCCGTTATCGATCTCGTATCTGGAGGCTAGAAATCAGTTATTGTTCGTCCAATGACGGGGTCCACGGAGTGTTGTAAGAGTGGGGGCTAGGTTGACTCACTTGTCCAGAGGCAGAGAATCAATCAAGGCTCTCTGCTTTTCCCTCAGCTCTTCGTCGACCTGCTTGCCACCCTCGCGCAGCTCGTCCTCCAGACCTGTCTCCAGGGGCTTGAACCGCTCGTCGACAACCTCGTCGTGCGCATCGGCCGAGGTCTGCGCAACGGGCACCTTCTCGGCGGGGAGGGTCTCTGCGACGGCGCCCTCGACCAAGCCGCGGAAGTGAGTTGACATCTTGCGGACGATCTTGAGGAACATGGCCAGAAGCTGCGATGAGGGCAGATTCAGCTCCTTCTCGACGTCGTCGAGGTTCTTGCGCTGTAGGCCGATGGCGAGCAGGATGGACTGCTGGACGCCGGAGAGGTTGACCTTGCCGCTCAGGCGACCGGAGAAGTAGTACTCCGCAATGGTGGGAACCATATCGAGGATGACGTGGTAGTCCAGCAGGTTGTTTGCGTAGCTGTCAAGGCGCTTGAGGTCGAAGGGGGAGAAGGCCGCGTCGAGATCGCTCTTCTTGAGCAAAGATGGGGTGTACGTGGTGTCGAGCTTAGCGCCTGCAGTGGCGGATTCGCAGATGCTGAGGGAGAGAACAGAGGGAAATTCTCGGAATTGGTAGGAGAGCAAAGCTAGGAAGCGCTTGTGGAAGTCTCGAGCAAAGGCTCCGAGCCAGCTAGCGTCGCTGGCTGCGGAGGCGAGTGTGCGCAGCATCACACAAGAATGTTCACCAGTCAATTCGTTTGGCGTCTGGCGAAGGTAGACAGGAGCGAACGAAGAGCGTTTCCAGAATTTGTGAAGAGGTGGTGTCAAACCGTAACTGACGCCGACGTAGTCCAGTGCGTCTGGACGCCGCTCCGACAGCTTGCCGAACAGAGGGGGCATAGAGCGGATGTCCCGAACCTGGATGTTGTCATCAAGGAGAGATGAGTTGGCGAGCTCTTCATCAGTGACCCTGACCATCTCTTCCTGCGCGTCCGGGATGTTCTCGGAGAGATCCGTAAACTTGCCCTCGTAGAAATCAACCAGGAGCTCCAGAGCGCGGGATCCGTAACCCATGTTCATGTATTCTGGGTTGGTTGCAATGCGCACAATTCGGGCGCCTGAGAGACTGGCAAAGTCCTCATCCTGGTACTGCTGGCTGACAAGCCATGGGATCAAGTCGCCACCGGCGCGTTGGCCACGGCTCAAGCTGTTCAGAACACTTTCTCTGCTGATACGACCCTCCAGAGCAACCTGAATAACGCAAAGAGGCTCAGGAAGCTTGGCAGCGTCCTCGTCGATGGGGGGCACCAGCACGAAGAGCTGATGCGCAGGCGCATCGCTCATCAGTTGGAGATCGTTAGGAGTGTTCTTGTAGTGACTGGCAACGTACAGAGCCATCATCTGCTGCAAGAACTTTTCAGAAACTGGATGGAAAGAGAATAACGTGTCTCGGTTGACTTGCAGGAGTTGGCACTGTGACGGGTGCGGGCAGCCCTGTGTGTTGATCTTGGACTTTGGCAGCGTCGCATCCAGGCACAGGACTTTGTTCAGCCACTTCTCCACTGAATCCCCAGGTGCGTAACGGATAGGCTCTGACAGAGTAATTTCTCTGAGCGAGCGTCCACCCAAGTTCTTCTCTGCGCCCTTGGAAGCCTTGCCAGTGGCTCTATCAGCGATATCTGTATCGTCCTGACCGCTGGCCTTCAGACCACCCCTGGACTGCTCGCGAAGCTGCTGGATCAGTTTCAGAGAGAGCGACCGACCAGTACCCTCGTAACCGTTGATAGTGGAGGCCATGAATACCAGGTATGGGCCCATCAGTTTGCGCACCAGGGGCAGAGGAATGGCTGCTGCCTCATCAATGACTAGAAGCTCCGCCTGGCCGAGAACATGAGCATCCTGGGGCTGAATATATTGAATGGTCTGGCGATGCTGGCGATGGATGTTGACTCTCACAATAGCCTTATTGAAGTCCGGATTGGTGGATTGAAGGATGGTGTAATCAACGTGATCGAGGTATCCAAGAGCATCGAACCCTTTGAAAATGAATTCAAACAGGGTCTTCAAGTTCTCCGGGCTAGGGGAGGTGATGAAAATGTTACTGTATCCATGAGCAACCGCTGCCGCGATGGCAACGCCAAGAGCTGCCGACTTTCCCCGACCTCTAGCAGCGGTCAAGGTGACGGTGCTGCGGAGGGTCTTCTCGGCGATCACGTCGACAAAGGTCAAGAGCGCCTTCGCCTGGTCGACAGTACGAGCTAGACTGACCAACGAGCCCACCGGCTGAGTGTCTGCCAAGCTATCCTTGATCTCTTTCAATTCCTTCTTTGTGCCTGTGTTGTCGTCAAGGGACTCTGGCGGTGGAAGAGGCTTCACGTTCTTCCCACCAGAGATTGGGAGGACATTCAACTCATCGTCAACCACCAAGCATGAATCACAACTGCCAAGGGAGAGGATAAAGCGCTCGTTGAAGCGGGCAACCACATCATCATGCGCTTCGGTCCTATATCTCGAATGAATATCCATAGATAACGTGTAGAGCTGCTTCAAACTTTTCATTCCCTTGAGCAGAAGCAACACGATACCACCTCCTTCCACGGTCTCGATGGTACGGGCAAGCAGGTTCGGCGTGATGGCTTCGAAGTCTTGAAGAATGCACATTCCGTACGTATTACCCAGAATCTTCTCCGTCTCCTTGTAGTACACATATCTGATTTGGTTGAGAGTGATGAACAGTTCGAAAGGATCCTCCTGGTTAGGTTCTCTGATACCTCGCTTGACTTCCTTCTTGATCTTCGCCTCGCGCTTCTTCCGATGGCTTGTGAATCCAAGGAGGTCTTTCTTGTATGCCCAGAGGACCGACTTATTCTGCTTGACATCGACGCTGGACATAATGTAATGCAGGTTGACAATCACATCCTTGGCGCGGTCGCCGACCACCACAAAGAAGCTTCTTTTCTTCTCCTGTACATTATTCCGAATGAGCGCGGGAATGCGCGAATCAATTGCCTTGCGTGGCATTTTGATCTAGTGTCTCCTGCGTAGGGTCAACCACTGGGGGTGATGCTCACAGCGGAGCAGCGAGATTCTGTCGGCTCTGCCGTCTGCTATTATTGCTGGTAGTAGGGCCCAGGTTGTAAGAAGCAAACTAGGCAAAGATGGATCCCATAAAAAGAGGGCATAAAAAGAGGGCGCAGAGAAGAATCAGAGCTATCACGCCGTATTCTCACTCCGAACTGATTAGAGGAAAAAAATTGTTATCAGCAACTGATAATCTGCCATTGCCTACCGCTTGCCGTAAAAGCTACCGCCTAGGGAAGAAGGCGGGCACGTGCACGAACTTTAGCCAGAAGATGGCGCTTTCCCCGAAACAGAATAGCCCAGAGGGACTAACCGAAATGGGCGGCCATCGTCGACTTTTGACGTTATTCCTGATTAGGTCGGTGTACTATTCCGTCGACTGTTCTCAGGTACGGATACAGGAACGACACCCACGGTTTGTGATAGTATGACAATATCCATCCATCAAGGCTTCCATCGAAATCATTCCATCGTCCATGGAAGTTTCAATGACTTTTTATCATGGATAAGACGCACGTTTCCAAGGCCAATTATGCTTCCTTGCTAATGATTGGGCCCTACGCTAGCACGGACAACAAGCAACCTAATTTGACTGACCATCATTAGCATCATTTAATAATGTGCCAAAATGGGGGTTATTCCTCTCTGAACTGATGGACCTCTGCTACCATCAACTTTTGATCATCAAACGACAACGCGAGCCAATCGGAGGTTACTACACTGACAATCCGTGGAGTTGTCTACATGCCAGCGGAGACAGCCAGCCAAATTGAAATGCCTTGTTGCCAGTTGGTTATCGCAATCAAAATGCTCCGCAGGCTCGCAAAGTTCCTTCAACGGCCCACTATCTGCCCGTCCCCCCATGGGTCCAGAGACTCGTTGACGCAACCCTTCCTTTAATATTCCCTGGTCTAGCCTCATTCGTTTCCTTTTTTCTTCACCACCCCTGTTCGTGCCGTATCGTTGCTACGTTCTCCTCGTTTTGAGATCGTTGCTTTTATACTGAGCTGTGTCCTGTCGCATATCACTCACTGCACACTGGAAATATCCTTGTTTTGCCCGCCTCGGAACGTCCTCAAGACACGAGATTTGGAAATTCAACTGCAGTCGCATTCATCCAAAAGCTGTCCAATTATTTCGACTTTTTATGCAATATCGACTGCAATGAGCGCTTTCACATAAAATAATTGGCAATGGCTCCATAGCGGCTTCTCTGGCTATCAACAAGGAGGATCCTTGAATATGATTCGGCTCTCCGCGGAGACGGGGCTCAAAGCCTCATTGGGGTAGGGAGATCTCAGCAGGGTGTCCCGTTTCATGTGCTGTCCCTGACCGAGTCCAACAGGGTATTTCTTATGAGTTGCATGTTTTTAACGACTTCCTACACGACGACATTCGCTTTTGGTAAGAGCAGTCATATTTCCTTGATCAAGGCAGCGCAGACTTCAATCAGATAGCTCGTGCTCACCAACCGTTTTCACAGACCGGCCCCACCATACGCTCATCTTTGCGTCCTTTCTTTCGGGTGTATCGCTCTTGGTTTTAAGCAGATTCGATATCACTATTCCACGCATACCCCAACCGCAGCACAAATACACTGCCATCCCTCTCGCCGAACGCGTTGATCAACCATCGGGAGAGGCGCCTCTTTCGCCCAGCAGTCCGATCAGGGATTTCTTCCTTACAAAATCGGGTAACCGGAGATGGTGGACCAAGATTGCCTTGATTTCGATGCTTGGCTGGATAAGGGTAGAGTTGTATCGCCAGGTGACCGTTAAGATTGAGTGCGCGCCAGTCGGATACGCAGTAAGTGGGCTTTGGAAAGGCAAACGCAGCGGCACCTTTTGACCGAATATTACGTTTCCCTTAGTACGCGATACCGTTCCTCGTTTCAATCTACGATTATTGGCGCAATCAACGATCTCGTTCAATCCCAGAAGGCTCGGACACTGATTCAGAAATCTCTCTCAATGCGCGAATTCGCACACTGGCCATCATTGTCCGACGTGTACACGCCGTTTTCTGTCAGAGTCGCATGCGATACGTCATATCGGCCACTTTTCTCATGATTGGCGGATTAGTGGCATCGGAGTTTCAAGAAGGCATACAGTCGACTTATATCTGTCCAATCAGTTCGGGCCAATATGCCCTACTGCGGTTCATCGGGATTTTGAGTGTCTTGCTTGACTCGGTGATCTTGATTAGTGTGAGCGAACTGTTTTGGGAGAGCACTCGGCCTCGAGAAGGCAGAAATAAACATTTTCTGGTCTCCTGCGGTTTTGGCCTAATTGTAAGTGTACTGGCCGCCCGTTGGAGTTGTGGTCTAATGCAATTGATAGGGAATTGCTGCTTTTTGGACCTTGATCGCAATCATTCTCGCCATTCGGGCCAGCGATCAGAATGACGGCTTTGTCATCTCTCATTACTTGCCAAGCGCATTCAATCAAAGTCTGCTGATGACGCTCCTTGTGCTTTCCACTTCTCAGCTTGTAAGTTATGGTATAAAGGCATCCCTTTGAATGCTGCTGAACAGTACTAGATACCGTTTTACGGCATAATTGGAATTTCCATCCTAGCCGGGTTCGTTGTCGGTTGCTTCACGCTGACCGCCACATTGTTCGATGGGCAAGAACCCTTTCCATTGATCTATCCGTCACATGCTTTCGCGTCCCTTCTTGCTATCTTTCTTGGGGGTGTCTTGTATTTGTGTGGCCGTATGGCATCCAACGAAGAACCGCCTTTCTTATACAGAGCAAATATTGTGATGCGAGTGGTGTTCTCGGCACTTTTTGGCATTGGCATCATCCTGGTCGCCAGTCAGCCGGTGTTGACGAACCTCCATACGATCGAGCTGCTGATCTATGAGAACATAAAACATCATGACGCATGGTCTTCTCAGGCCAAAAGCAGCAAAAGTCTTGCCGATGCTGTTGCGAACTATCGCAAACGATATAATCAGCATCCTCCACCGTGAGCCGCCCATTAACGTGAAATGATATGAGATTGCAAAGCGCCCATCGACTGACTGACTGTTACATAGGGGCTTTGATAAATGGTACGAATACGCCAACAGTAGGTCTTCCGTTGTGATTGATGAATTTGATCAAATCCATATGGATCTTCTCCCGTTTCGTGCATTGTCTCCCGCGAGACTCCGAGACCTAACGCGCGACTTGGCCACAAACCCATTCAACGACATTGGGGCTATCAGTATTAGAAATGGCACGCCCAGAGTACAAGAGGGGATCAAACCAACTCATGCCTGGATGGTCCTGGGTGCTGCCAAAATGCTCGAGAACTTCTCTCAATATTTACCCGACATGGATCTGGCTTTCAACCTAAACGACGAGCCACGCGTGGCCGTGCCCTGGGAGGAGGCATCCAAGTTGGAGACGGAAGCAAAATCTCATGGCCAGGCTCCCGATAACAGCGTATTGACCGTATGGTCGGCGGACCGTGGCATGCAATGGGCTCCTATAGAGCCAGCGGATCAAACGACCGAGACGGTGTTTACAGATAGCTCCATACAACCTATTTTCGACCGATATATACGCCCGCTATGTCCTCCGTCGTCGAAAGCTCGGTCGAAACGGATCTGGGACCGGCGTCACATTTGCCTGGACTGTGTGCGGCCGCATTCGATGGGTCAGTTTCCCCTAGATGCGAACAGCATGACCGACGTATGCCATCAACCAGACCTTGCATCGCTTCACGGGCTTTTCATTTCTCCTGCATCCTTCAAAGTATCCCAAGTCTTGACGCCCGTTTTCAGCCAGAGCAAGGTGTCCGGATTCAATGATATCTTGTTTCCTAGCCCGTGGAACTATGTGGATAAGATCAAGTACGAGCCGTCTGATGAGTATCCCGACCAGGAGTACGAAAAGAAGGAGAACACGCTTTTCTGGATTGGCAGCACATCGGAGGGAGTGAGCCGCTCAGGGGAATGGAAGGGAATGCCTCGCCAACGATTTGCGCACCTCATCAACAACAATACTCAGAGCCACGTATCGGTCTTGCTGCCCGTTGAAGGTACCGATAGCTATCGGTATGAGGTCCTAGACGGCTCGGCGCCGACAAATCTCCTCGGACTGAACACCGCCGTTAACCTCCTGAATCCTATTCGATGTGGCTCGGATTGCGAGGCGCAGAAGGAAGAGCTGGGCGCCGCCGCGTCCACGGTAGATTTCCAGAGTCACTGGAAGTATCGGTATCTGTTTGACCTAGACGGCGCGGGCTTCAGTGGTCGATTTCTTCCGTTTTTACAGAGTCACAGCCTGCCCTTCAAGACTGGCTTGTTTCGACAGTGGTTAGACCGGCGGGTTACTCCCTGGCTCCACTATGTTCCCATTGATGTCCGTCTGCACGGAGTTTGGAGCACCCTGGCCTACTTTGCCAAATTCGACGTGCCAGTCACGGGGGACCCCAACCGTCAGCCCAAAGACTTGACGCAGCGACACGATGCTCGAGGCAAGTATATTGCCGAAGAAGGACGCAAGTGGGCCGAGAAGGCCCTGCGGAAGGAGGACATGGAGATCTACTTCTTCCGCCTGCTGTTAGAGTGGGGCCGACTGACGGATGATAATAGAGATATGCTTGGGTTTAAGATGTGAATGACCGGCCGTTAATGTTTTGCTTTGAATTATGATTGGCATAGCTAATGTGTAAATAATGTCAGGAACATACCCTAATAGACACGAAACTTGAATAGCTCCTGGCATATTGATCTAAATGTAAATGTAAAAATGTAAGTAGATACAGAGATGGACACACGCTAGACTATAAACAGGGTATACTCAGATAAAAAATATACACAACATCCACAATATATATACCCTCACCTCTCAACAGCAACCTCAAAAGCCACGACCATGCCGAGCAGAAAGGCGCCTGCGACCCTCCAAGGGCGACTGCGCATGCAGATGCTCAGTGGCATTCATTTTCCTCACCGCAGTCGCACTCGAAGCATCCCGATACACCTTGAGCGAATTGATGAGCCAGTACGCCTCCGTAAACGCAGAGGGGTTATTCGCGACGAAATCCTGGCAGGAGGACGCCACGGACGCACAGCTGCCGGAGCCCCAGACACCGCTGGCCCAGCCGCCGCAGAAGGTCGTATCAAATACCTTTGACCGTCAGCCGCTGCAAACGTAGCGAAAAGTGGAAAAGGGGAAATGGGAAAGGGAAATGGACATAACATACAATCTGCATCTCGCTGAAATGGGAATCAAAGTCACAGCTGCCCGGGGCGAACTTGGCGAGCGGCGTTCCCCAGTTCGCCGGGTTGGGCGTGCCGGCTCTGATGTCCAGGGGCGTAGATCCGCGAGGGAAGAACCAGATGCCGATGCCGGCGGAGGTCCACTCTGTTGCGTAGACGCCGCCGCCGGCGTTGTTGAACGCGGTCCCGTAGGTCAGGCTCGAGGTGGCGGCGATGCCGCAGCCTGCGTTGGTGGATTGGCCGGGGGCGTAGTCGTAGCAGTTGCTCGTCAGCAGGCTGCCGGTGAAGCCGCCGTTGGCGATGGTGCAGCCGTCGGTGCTGTGCAGGGTCATCTGGTTGGTGGATTGGGTGTTGACGCCCTCGATGATGTCGATTTCACCGTGGGAGGGCCAGTCGGGGCCGACCATCCAGCTTTGTGAGGTTAGCTTAATGTTCTTGTATATTACGAGGGGAAGAGGGAATGTACAAGGCAGGCCAGGTGCCGCAGATGCCGCCTGGCATGTGCCCCAGATCCAAGATTACGAGGCCGTGCGTGTAGCTGTTCGTGCTGGTGAGGCGGACGCTCTGCCGGCCGCCGCTGCTGGCGACGTGGGTATGGTCTACGCCCATGTAGACGGTGCCGTCGGCAGAGATCAGGCCGGCGTTCTGCGCGGTGGTGCGGTCGACGTACGAGACGAAGCCTTCGGTTGGGTCGGCGGCTGTGAAGAAAGAGAATTTGTCGAAGAAGGAGGACGAGGTGCCGTAGTCGTCCTCGAGGACGTAGGCGGCCATGCCGGTGGCCGCGAGGCCCAGGATGGGGAGGAGAGTCGACCGGATGTACATTTCGGCTTGATTCAGCTGACCAGCAGGAATAAAAAAGAGTGTTCGGTCTATTAAAGGAACGTAGTCACAGTAGAAAAAGGAGCGACAGCACAAGGCCGAGTGAGAAGGAGAGTGGTGATTCAACAACGAGAGCAAGAAATGGAACATCCTTCTCGTCCAGATCCATCTGAATATATACATGCAATGCATGCCAGTCAGCTCAGATCGTAAGCAGAACAAAACGAAGCTCTGCACTAATGCCCTAATACAATGTGGCTGGAGAAGATGATGATGCATCCACCGGCACCCGGCCAGGCCCTGAGACCAGTTGTGGAGTCAGGTTGCGATGTATCAGAGGCCATGTGGACATGACAACATGGAGCGAGATATTCAAGGTCAGTCAGTCATCTCTTCACCGAAAAGACCATGAAGGTGATGAAACGGGGAATTTGCGGGCCTCTGCTCAGCCCAAAGCTCCGAGCCGCGCTTGAGTCAGAAGGCTTGATGAATGGAGAAACAGCAGTCACTGGGATAAGGTGAAACCGAGGCTTGCATCAACCACATTCTAAGCTTTGTTAGTCTGGATGTAATTGTAACCATGCAGGATCATCAAGCGTGAAGCAAGGGGTCTACTGATTGTCATTTGTCACTGGACTCGTCACGAATAGGGAACAAGACGTGAATGGATGGATCCATCTTCCAAGTGAAGAAATGACTCCGATGTCATCTCCGTCCCCTGTCGACGCCGGTTTTTCTTGCAGATTCCCATCTATCTGATGTCGATCATGAACCGGGATATAGTCGGACTGCCGACTGCGGTTTCTTCATGGTTGTATCGCGCGACGCACGAGGCCATGTTGCAGTGGCGTCAGCATACCAATACAACCATCGCCATGTTGTTGCATTATTTCCGTTGCGTTACAATCCTGGTCTGCTGATAGATTTTAATGCTGCGAAAATGGCCCTGACGCGTTTTTCCAAATCATGACATCCGTCAAATATGCCGAGTCCATGGCATGGCATGCCTTGAGAATGCAGCACGGGGACAAAGCAGGGTTGGTGCATATTTTACATCATACGGAGATATGCTTATAAGAATGATGACTAGATGGCTTCCACGTCCTGTTTATGTACAAGCCGGACATGACAACTCCGATCCTCTTCCATCCGGCGCAAAATGGGCCGAGTTTCGCTTACTCGCTCGTCCAGCCTGAGCCATGTCCACCAGACACTGTTGGTGGTACAAATGACGGCAGGAAAATACAACGGCGGGGCCGGTTCGCTTTTCTTCGGCATTGTGGAAAGCCTCGTCCGTTTCAGGCGCTCCGACAACTTCCCGATGTTGATGGTCATGTTCCACATGCCCGTTGTAGTGCAGTGACGGACCAGCGACTGCGCCCACGGCAGCAGCCTTTCCCTTCCCCCTGGCAGTTGCAGGATCAAATCTGCCTTCCAGTTGTTTCATCGCCCGCCGCTGCCGTTCCCCTTCCTGTCTTTTCTCCCACGCTTCCCAGTACTGCAGCCCCACTCCGGGACCCCAGATGCGTTGCCGGCAGATCTCGCACACTTGCCCCCGCGGCCGCCATCCCCGTTGACGCAACCGTGTAACCTCCTCCACATGCACAAAGAGGTCTCGATCGAGCATGCCATTGGCCAGAGCCAGTAAGGACTTTTCGTACGTGTAGGCGGAGAAAACCGACGCCAGGACGGCACGCAGCTCAAGAAGCGACGGTGACCAGCTGGCAGCTCGAGTGAGAAATGCACGTAGGATGCGGAGAAAGGTTACATCGGTCCGCTCGGCAATAGTAGCCGCTCCGCCTAGCTTGACAGTGCTGGACAGAAGAGCAGTAAATACTTGTTGAACCAAAGTGCGGACCGACGACATGAGATGGGCAGTATTGTTGCCCAGCGAAGAAGAGGTCCCCGGAGCCACCTGTGTGAGCTCGTCATCGGCACCCTGCTGTCCTCGCATCAGAGCAAATACACTGCTCGCGATGCGAACTACTGCCTCAATAAGATCCAGCCATAGGGCCTCGTTGAACGACAGAGGCTGGTCCAACGCAACCTTGCTGCCAGTGCCGTTCCTCTCCGGCCGTGACTTTCTGGTTGTCTGGCTCTGACTTTGGCACAACCAGATGCCAACGTGTGCGTACTTGTCCAAGGATTCGAGAAGATCGGTAATGGCTTCCGCCGTACTGGCAGAGTCAGGAGACTCTCGCGCACTCTGCAATATTCCCACCAGACCTGATTGCAGTGCACCCAAGTGAGCAAAGAGCCGGTCCATTGCAGCTCGCACCTGGCCTTGCCTCACAAGCAGAATGACAGCCCCATCGACCACCCCGCTCTCTTCCATGGCAGGCAGCAACTCCTCCAGCCGTACATCGCCCGTTCGCAAGTCATCCACAAACTCCGCAACGTGCGAGGGATTGTACCTGCAGAGCAGCTGCACATATCGCTCAATCATCCAGTTTGCGACGTTTCGAGGGCCCCCTGCTTCCGCAACATCCCGCGTCGGGCTTTCCACGACAACAAGCAGATACTGATACTGCTTGTAACTGTCGTCTTCCAGAGCCTTGAGGAATGTCTCATGCGTTTCGGGGGCGAAGTCCTGCATTGTCTGCGCGGCTTTTCTCACATCGATGCCGGCCAATTGTCCAGCACGTTTCTTCATCACGTCAACGACATCCCGTCGTTGTTTTTTGCCCAATATGGAGCCGGGACGGAGACAGTCCTGCAGACAAGTAAATACTGCTCCCTGCTCGCTGGGGTCCTCAAGATAAGTGAGTATCAACTCAGGAAATTGTCTTTCGGAGCGGTACGTGGATTTCAAGATTCGGTAGAAGCGAGCCTCCCGAAAAAGTGGGATCATGTTCTGGATATCCGGAGGATGGTAAATAGACAGTAAGTATTCCGCACTGAGCTCACAGTCGTCCGCCATCTCCTCGCTAGGGTAGCGACATAGTCGCACTAATACTTGATGAAGCGTCGTGCCAGACAGTAGGATATATTGAGGGTATTTGGGCAGGTTGCGCGCAACGAACATGTCGAGGTAGATGGTATCTGAAGAATCGAAAGAAGTAGGTGTCATAACCTGGAACAGAATGCTGATCAGGTATTGGCGGTTGATCGAGAGCCCTTGCGAGGGGATCTCATCGGGCTCCTGGTCGTTCAGGAAACTATCCTCGAACGCCTCGTTCAACATGCTAATGAAACTAGACGCCTCAAACTTCAACAGGGCATGTAAACTCGGAAACGTTCCCTTCGCTTGAGAAGTGCCAGATTCGTTCCCTGAGAAGAGGTAGCCGTACAATGCTGTCTTGGCTCTCGTGGCCTCGGCATCGTCCATCTCTTCACCAGTCGGATAGATGCGGCCAGTGAGCACAAACGAGAGATATGGAAACATCTTTGCAGCGTTCGCGTGTCGTTTGAGCACATCCGTCGAATCCCCATTGACCAAGGGTTCCGTCTGCGCCGGAATGAGTGCAATAAGTTCCTCCAGCGGGCCCACGTAGTCGCCAAGGCAGCGGTTCCATACATATATAAAAGCGTCGTATAAATTATAGTGTTTGCACAGAGTTGTGACCTGGTCAATGT